ATCAAATGAAGACTTCTCAGTATGCACTCCGGAGCAAGGTCTTGTGTCCTAACAGGCTGCCTTAGTAAAAAGAAACCCTTCAGCCCTGATACCGGGGTTGTGAGGCCCCAGGGCTGCAAAGGAGAGCCTGACAAGAGCAATGATGCTCGCTGACTGCCTGCCGGACCCTGCCCGAGCATCGTGTATGGTGGTGACATCACCAGCACCAGCTCTGAACCAGCAGGGCTGGGTCTGAACTGGCCCCCACTGCCTGCTGGCTGTGTGGCCTTGGGAAAGTCCCCTGAACTTTCTGAGCCCGTTTTCTCTTTATGTGTAAGTGGAAATAACCAAACCACCGCTGAGGTTATGCAAGGGGGGAGGGAAGACTTCTACAGAAAACACTTAACAGGGCTGACACGGCAGGGGTTTGGGAGATGCTACCTACTGTTACTACCTACACAGTGTCTTCTATGACGACAGTGTGAATTCAGCTCACAGGAGGTTGAAAGCAGCAGGAGAAGACAAGCATGCTGAAGCACTCACCAGGAGAAAGAGTACTGGGGAAATGCCAGAGGAGGCAGGGGGAGACTCCCCACCCGCAACAAAAGCCCACTCCTATTTCTCTTCCCACAGGAAGATTACACACCCACTGGCCAGAGATAATAAAACAGATGTCAGGATCAGAAATGATGTTGCTTTAGGGGCTTCCCTGGTGGCGCAGTGGTTGAGAGTCCGCCTGCCGATGCAGGGGACAAGGGTTCGTGCCCTGGTCCAGGAAGATCCCACATGCCGCGGATCGGCTGGGCCCGGGAGCCACGGCCACTGAGCCTGCGTGTCCGGAGCCTGTGCTCCGCGACGGGAGAGGCCACAGCAGTGAGAGGCCTGTGTACCACAAAAAAAAAAAAAAAAAAAAAAGAAATGATGTTGCTTTGATAAGCTCTATTACACAAACATATAAATGAAACATTTTAGTTAAAACGAAAAGTAAATCTTCCTTATAGTCATTTAAACTACAACTAGAGTAGCTGTACTTGAGCGTCCAAACAAAACTATTTATATGGCTTTAAAGTTGTCAAGTTACAGTATTAAGGAGAAAGCCACTTGAAACTCTGGCCCTCCCCCAAATGAATACATGAGGCGCAGAAAGGGGATTTTAGTGGTGGTATACAATCAAGCACATGGCAATTCTGAATCACTTAATCTTGGATGTAGTCAAAATAGTGCTTTGTTTAACTCAGAAGAAGTTCATTTACTTAATTTTATCTAGGCTGTCTGAATAATGAAAGTTCTGGTAAATCCATTCCATGAAAATATGGAAATAAGCTGCTTTAAAACACACATACACACAGAGTAAAATTTGGGTGGCCCAGAGTAAAAGCAGTAAAGTAAATAAAAGTTCCTCTTCTCCCTGACCCACATCTAACATATAGTGAGATGTCACAGGCTTACTGCCTTAACAGGTTAGCATTTCGAACCTTATGGCCAACGGGGCGCCAAGATTAAAACTTTTAAATATGATAAGATATTTTGGAAACACTGGCATATGAGTAACTAGTCATAAACATTTCCTTTCAATAAAGATGTTTAATAAATAAATAAATAAATAAATAAATAAATAAATAAATAAATAAATAAAGTCTGTGGGTTCCGGGAAAAAAAACAACACGTTTCCTTTGCTGAGTCACACAGCCTGATTTTTCAGGGATAAGAATTTCCTCTTGGACGCTGCCTTTTGAGGGGCAAACACATCGCACCAACTTGTGGCCTCATAATTCTGTAGAAACCAGATAAGAACCTCACTCTAATCAGGTAATACACCAATCAACTTTGCCTGAAAACACTTCAGCTGCTATAAATAACTCGATTTCCTGTGCTCACTGTAGGTGGCAGTTTAGACGGCAGGGTTTACAAAAAGTTTGCTAAGGAGGCTTCCACTACTTTGATACTAGCTCAGGCTGAACAGAAACTAACCCTTAAAGAAAAAGGGAAGTTGAGTCTCCATCTTTGCCCTAGTGGGACACTCTTACTACTATGAGGAAAGAACTAACTTACTGTTTTTATATCTTAACTGTTTGGGAAAATGATTCGTCTAAAGCAAACCATGATTCCAATGCTCAAAGGTCTCCTGTTGAGCCCAGCAGGGTCGGCCCCCCAGCACTGTGTTCACCCACCCCCGTTCATCCACATGTCCCCTCGCCACCAGGACCTGGGGACCTGCGCACTGGTACCTACAGTAAGATGAGACTTGGGGGTTCACGTTCTACCCTGATAGCCTCTCTCAGAATGGGGCTGGTCGTCTGTGAGGGCTTAGTGCTAATCAGTATGTGGAAAACTACCAGAGGTGACACAACCCGGCAGGAACATGGGGAAGTTACAAAAGTGAAAGAAACATGGTTTCTACACTGTCCTCTCCTGCAAGGAGTCTGGGCTTCCTGCTCGGATCCTGCTTTTTTCTTTGCCCCGTGAGATGGAGCTGGACAAGTCCATCTCCTCCTGCCAACTCCAGCTCTGGCCTCACACCCAGGTGGCCCCGGCCCTCCTCCTCCCCTGGTGACCCCTGTTCCCGGGACACAGGGTCTCTGGGCACAGAACACAAGCCAATCTGAAATGCCCACCGTTCTCCCGCTGGAACACTACCGCCCAGGGTGGCTGCTGGGCGACTCCTTCTGACACATCCCACCCCACCCCACTGGTCCTTCAGCAACGGTTTCCTTTCCTTTTTTTTTTTTTGCAGTACGCGGGCCTCTCACTGCTGTGGCCTCTCCCGTCGCGGAGCCCAGGCTCCGGACGCGCAGGCTCAGCGGCCATGGCTCACGGGCCCAGCCGCTCCGCGGCATGTGGGATCCTCCCGGACCGGGGCACAAACCCGTGTCCCCTGCATCGGCAGGCGGACTCTCAACCACTGCGCCACTAGGGAAGCCCAACGGTTTCCTTTTCAACCATTAACCTCAAAAAACAGTCCTACTCTAAAAAAGTTTTTGCTGCTATTTACTTGAGCAAGTTCACAATTGATTACTGAAAACCCCTAGGACCAAATGTGTTTCAGAATTCAACATTTTTGGATTTTAGAAAGGTAACAAGATGCATACACCAGATATTCTGTAACAACCCAGAGTAACAGCCCTTAGTCAAGAACCTTAACAGGGCTGCAGAGAAATGTACGAATATTCACACTGAGAAGAATAAAGACTGAAAACAGCCTCCCATCAGCCAAATGGGACCTGGGGACCTTGGCACAGATACCTACAATAAGACGAGACTTGGGGGCCGCGAACAGCCTCCCATCACTGCCAAATGAATCCTGCTGACAACTTACAAAAAAGAGAAACAACTTCTGATTTTCAGAGCTTACTGGATCCTGGAACTCGGGGTAGGAGGAGGTGGGCTGTGCCCACCGAGCACGGCCTCACTCGGCAGCTGTTCCCGTCTCTCCTGTCACCAACTCCCAGCAGCATCTCTGTGAAGCATGCATCTCAACCAGATCCAGTCCAGGGTTAAGTTAAGGGTTAATGAAAGCGTGCAGCCAGCGCCTTCGGGTGACAGGTGTTATTTCTACTCCTGCCTCTGACGGCCTGGCGCTCCCTTCCTCACATCCTGTTCTCCATGGTCACTCTTTTCTTCTCCTTGCCCAGCAGTTCATTCCTCTGAGCTCAAATCTTGCCCAGGATTAACATCAGCCTGTTCTTGCCATCTATGGTTTGCCTAGGCGGCTCCTCGGGAGCTTGGGCATCTCTCAGTGGCATTCCCATCCTTCTTTCCTCCAAGGGCCCTTCCCTGATGGTGATTCAAGGATCTCTCTGTAGGTTCCCAAGTAGGTTAAGGGATAGGAACCAGCTCCAAAGGTCTGGTCCAGGGGTGGAACGTTATGTCAGGTCAGAGGAGCACACTAACGAGGACCTTAAAAATATCCACCCGCCTGTCCTCAGCGAGGAGTGTAATTTTCAAGTGTGCATTCATCAGAATCTATTTCTACCCCCTCTCTGGTGCTGACCGGGAAGCTCAGGGCAGGGCAGTCTTATTCATTTTGAATCCTCCACAAACACTCAGTAGGTGATTAATTCCTACCTGCTGAAGGGGTGATTATTTGGGGTTCACACTTTTATCAAGGTTCCACACAGGCCGGATAAAGTGGAAATCTAGGGTCTCTCTCTCCCTGTCTGCGGTACTAACTTAATGATGTGCTTCTTTTCCAGACTACGCCCTTTCACCTTTAAAGATTCCCATTCATCATCAACCACAAGCCACATGAAAAGGGGTAGTTACTAACCTTCCCCACCTCACCCCCTGCCCGATTTTAACGCCAAACTACTCCCACATCCATGGTTCCAACGCTGGGTGCTGAGCCGGATAACTGCAAAATCCCCCATAGGGAGGATCCCCTCCCTACCCGGCGACTCCAGGAGACCAGTCAAAGTGGATCCGGGAACTGGGGTCCTTGGGGGAACTAGAGAAACCGGGTGCAACGCATTGGTTCTAAGGTCCAGCGCAGGGTAAGTGCTCCAAGCCACCCAGCCACTGGGGGCGCCAGCCTCAGAGCGAGGGCACCGCCTCTGGGCACCAGTTCCTAGGTACTGTATTTTGTAAAACATCAAACAAGCAGTTCTGAGCGAAACTCTAGACCACGCGCAGGTCTCACACCTCGGCTGGATCCGCGGCCGAGTCACGCAGCTGGGCAGAGCCCGTCAAAAGGCCGTAACTGCGGGCAGAGGGGACCAGACGAAGTTCCTTTCCGTCCTGCTGAGGGGCGTTGCCCAGGGAAATGTGCTTTCCAGGGCGCAAGGGGGGAGGGCAGTGCACACCGAGCCGCGAACTGAACCGAGAGCAGGCCACCCCCCCCCGCCCATGCTCGCGTGGGGACGTTCGTTTAAGGGGGTCCCCGGCCAGGCGAGGCAGCCCCACACCTCCCCGGGCACAGATGATTGCGGCGGAAGGTGCCGCCTGCCCTTGGCTCCTAGAACATCAATAAGGACCAAACACTGGCAATCAGAACCAAAAGTTTCGAAAATGTGTTTTCTTCTTACCAGTCTCTGAGCTTCTGGGCTCAGACAGTCAATTTCCTGGTTCTGCGCGGCCGCAGGGTTGGTCATCCTGCCGGCTGCAGGTCCACCTTCTCACACAGCAGGGAAAGGGAGCCAACGCCCGGCTCCCCGGATCCGCGAGCGGGCCGGCTCTCAGCGCAGCCACATGCCGAGAACGGCGGGGCTACTGCCCGGAGACAAATCCGCGCGTCGGGACGGGAACCTCGCCCTTCCCAAGGCGGGGTCGCGCCTCCGCGGTTCCGGGGCTGGAGTGCGGCCGCAGGGGCGGGGCACAGGTGGCGGAGCCCGGGAGCCCGCGGGCCTGGGGTGGCGGCACCCGAGAGAAGAGCAGTTGGGGCCGCCCCCAGCCCTCCACCCACAAGCGTCCCGCCCGCGCTCCACCACGCACCCCGCCCGGCCCGTTCTCAGCGAGCGCTCCTCCCCGCGCCCCAGCGGCGCGGTTATTAATCATCACCCAGCCCTCCTCCGCCCCCCACCCGAAAGGCGGTGGGGAAAAAAGACCGTAGCCGGCCCCGCCCACAGCCCCCGTCGGCCGCCCACCCACCCGCCGAGAGAGGGCGAGCTGAGAGGCCTCGGAACACCGGGGAGGAGCGGGGAGGCGCCGCGCGCGGCCTGGGTCGCCCCGGGGAGGAGCCTGCGCGGGGGAGGGTTCTGCGCGAGGGGCGGGGTCCTCTGGTGGAGGAGCCAGAGAGGGGCGGGGCCCGCGCGGGGGTGGGGCGGATTGCCCCTCAGACCCCGCCCCCGGCCCCCTCGCCGTCGGTGCTGCGCTCCCGCCCCAAGGTGTTCTCCAAATTCAGGCCGAAGTGAGCTTCTGCGGACGCGATTACCTCGCCCGAGTCCCGCAGCACCTGCTGGTCGGGGTACCCAGCTAACGCGTCACCCGGAGAAAGGACCGGCTTCCAGGGCGATCACACCGCGCGGCCCGCGGGGGTAAGAGCAAGCATCCGACGGCCGGGTGCGGCCCCGCCTGCCTCCCCCTCCGCAATAGGCGGCAGAAGAACGCGGTTTGGCGCGGATGCGGCGTCTCAGAGCCGGGGGGCTGCACCGGCCAGGGATCCGGCGGGAGGTCGTGCGGGGCAGGGGCCGATCCGAGGTCCCCGCCGGGCGCCGCGCGGGGAAGGCGTGGAGAGGAGCGTCCAGCGGCGGGACGGGGCCCCGGCCGCCCGGCACGCGCCTCCTCCAGCCGCAGAACTCGCGTCGCTCGTTCTTTAGCGGTTCTACATGCAAAGCAACGAAACGTCTCCTGATCTCGCCAGGCCGAAGCAGAAGCGATGGGCAGGAAGCGACGCAGATTTTCATCGGAATGTCAACCTGCCCCGGCCCAGCCCGCTGCCTGTGGCGCCTGGAAGCTTTCCGCGCCCCGCCCGGCCTCCTACCCTGCGTCCAGGCGGCCCCGGGCCCTTCCTGCCCATACCCTGGAGGCACGTTTTCGGAGGCCGTTCTCAGAAAGACCACCTCCCCGCCCCTAATTCTCTGCAAAGGCGGCTCCAGCGAAATTCTCGACAGACCGCAAATATACATTTAAATGTTACAGTCCCCCAGTTCCCCACTCTGCCCCACTCACCTCCTCCTCGGTAACACGTTAGCGCAAGGCCCGTGTGCACTCGCCTTCCCGCTCTGGCTTCAGGGCAGGGGGCTCTGGAAGGAAGGGTGTATGTGTCGGGGGGCGTAGCGGGGTGGGGAACAGAGAAGGTTCTGAGGGACCGAGGTCCTAACCTAGGAGAGAGTAGGGACAGCAGAAAAGCAAGGCCGAGTAAAGACCCAAAGTGGCCTCTGCGGGAGAAACAGCAGGTTTCCACTTTGATGAGCGGGAACACAGCGCCAGGCCTTGATGGATAGCAGCGTTAGGTTGGCAAGAATAATTTTCAAAGATTGAAATGCGTACCTTTAATACCTTGTTTTCTCGCTATAACACTTTTAAAATACGTCAGTGCATTACAGTTCTTGATTCTATAGAGTTAAACTAGTTGGCAAAAATAATTTTAAGCTGTTCTACATAAACAAGTACGGGACTTAGGGAATCTATGGTGGAAAGCAAAGATGATTTTAGTTAAGAGCTCCACAGATGAGAATGATAGCCAGTTAATAAAACCGCCTTCTGGGAGTCTTCAGTTTGAATATTCTGGTCTAGATAAGCAAATTCTAGAGCTTCTTGCCACCTGGAACCTTATGACCACATCTCCCTGAGCAGGGCACAGGGAACAGGCTTCTTTTGTCCTGACTGTCACAGGGCAATGCCTGTAGACACCTGCACCCTCCCCAGCTCCCAGGTGGCCGTCCAATGGCTACTTACCAGTTTTGTTAAAACCACACAGGGAAGGGGTTAGGTGGCTCTGGAATTAAACCATCTGGCTCAGTTCTTGCCTCTGCCACTTACTGTGGGATCATGACTAAGTTATGGAGCCCCTGTGTCTCGAGTCTCATCTGAAACATGACAGTGATAATGAAAGCGCCCAGGGCGGAGGGGAGGACCCCCACTGAGCACAGTCAGGGGAGCCGTCTTGCTACCCCTCAGCCCGCTCTCTTCTCCTGGCCTCCAGGCGCCCAGGCCTTCCTGCCCTTCTCTGCAGCAGGAAGGAAGCTGGGCAACAACAGGTTTAAATGGCTGAGAACCGGGAGAGATTGTGGGTAGCCCCGGAGAAGACAACAAACCCACAGCCTCCACGAAAGCTGTGAGAGGGCCTGGCTGGAGGGCACTATCGTGGAGGGAGAAGCAACTGGTTGACCAGTTTTATTCCCAGGAACAAACTAACAATACCAACAATAAAATAATGATAGTAAAGGCACAAGAGATTTCTGATTCTACTAAGCAGTAGCAAATTAGAGAAAACTGCTTTGCTAACATCCTTCTAGATGAGAGGCCTCTATGTTCTGACATGTGTTCCAGCCCAGCCATACCGTGAAGATGGCTCAGACCCGTCCCAGCTGTAGGGAAATGTCAGTCTGTATTTTAAGTGGTGCTGAATTCACACTTCTTGGTGTTACTTAGACCCCGGGGCCCCAGAACAAAGTGTAGAGGGTCTAGTTGCCTTCTGTTCATTTTGACATAAGTAGCTCTCTAGTGAAAAGGGCCCCTTAGGAAGCCCCTTCCCAGGCAGTCTCCATCACCCCCCACCTTTCTTTTTTTTTTTTATGCGGTACGCAGGCCTCTCACCATTGTGGCCTCTCCCGTTGCAGAGCACAGGCTCCGGACGCACAGGCTCAGCGGCCATGGCTCACGGGCCCAGCCGCTCTGCGGCATGTGGGATCTTCCCGGACCGGGGCACGAACCCGTGTCCCCTGCATCGGCAGGCGGACTCTCAACCACTGCGCCACCAGGGAGGCCCCCAAACGTAACTTTTATATGCTCTGGGATGCCGTAAAACTCGTGTGACTCCCTTTATTGTGATAAGCACTTTACTGCAGTGGACTGGAGCCGAGCCCACAGGGCCTCCGAGGTGTGCCTGTCTAAAATGCTTTGTAAACTGAAAGGTGCCGCGCAAATCTGGGTAATCACTTCATGAACCAGCTTTATAATATGAAGTGGTTTTTATATTAGTCAGAAGGATCCATATAAGGTTATAACATACATGTAAGCTCACTGTTTGTAGAAGCAACATAGAGATATTTATTCCGCTGTAATCATTATGGCTGGGGATTCACGTTCATGCAAAACAGCTGTTATGGCTGGGATTCGGAAACTGGTTTTGTGTGGGTTATTAACTAGGGGTGCAGCCAGGAACCACTGTGCCCTCCCCTGCCCGCCCTCTACCTTGTGCTACATCCTGGAAGGGTTTGTCTCCGTTGCTCTAGCACTCAGCACCGACCACAGCAGGAGGCAAAGCTGGTGAACCCAGAAGCAGCCCAGCACCACGAAGACCAGTAAACCACGTTTGGGTGCGACCCCAAAGTGGTTACATGTTGTGGCATTTGCTGGTTAGCTATGAGTCTGAGGTTCCCAGAGCACAATTAGATCATTCTACTTACCTTTTGTTCTCTTCTACGGGCTCCCTTAAGAAATTAAGTTCCTGCATGTAATCTTATTGCACGTCAGAGAACTGCTTTTGAGATTTTCGACATTACACTTCTGTTGAGAGGGCTCAGAGCACCACAACCATGGTGGCTTTTAGGGATGCCCGAGACAGAAGCTGCCACAAAACCTAAGGTGCCTCTCAGGACAGAGTCCCTGGGTTTAAACGGTGACTAGGTGCTTGCAGGTCAGTGACTGCCCAGCAGCTTGGAAGGGGCTGGAAATAGAGTACACCTGCTAGAAGTGGGATCTTGACCTAAAGAAGGGAAAACTGAACCTGTCATTGACCTCACAGCTCTTTATATAAAGACCCTGGGCCCACACTGGTGCAGTCTGAGCCTTCAGCAAGCCGTAATCTTTTTGCTGGAGGAGGGTCCCGCCTCTGTGCTGGTGGCTGCTGACTGATCAGGGTGGTGGGTGCTGAAAGCTGATGCGGCTGGGGTGATTTCCTAAAATAAGATAATGAAGTTCGCTGCATCGAGTCACTCTCGCTCTCACGAACGATTTCTCTGTAGCACGCAATGCTGTTTGATAACACTTTACCCCCAGTAGCACTTCTTTCAAAATTTGGAGTCCTTCCTCTCAAACCCTGCCACTGCTTTATCGACTCAGTTTATGAAATATTCTAAATCCTTTGTTGACATTTCAACAATCTTCACAGCATCTTCACAGGAGCAGATTCCATCTCAGGAAACCACTTTCATAGCAAATCCACAAGAAGCAAAATCCCTGTCATTAGCTTTATCATGAGATGGTAGCAATTCGGTCCCATCTTCAGGCCCCACTTCTGATTCTAGCTCTCCTGCTGCTCCCACCACATCTGCAGCCCTTCCTGCACTGAAGACTTGAGCCCCTCAAAGTCACCCATGAGGGCTGGAATCAACTTCTCCCCAACTTCTGTTAATGCTGATATCGTGACCTCTTCTGGTGAATCACAAATGTGCTTCATGGTGTGTAGAAGGGTGGCTCCTTTCTAGAAGGCTTTTAATTGACTTTGCCCAGACCCACCAGAGGAATCACCGTCTATGGCACCTATAGCCTTATGAAACGTATTTCTTAAATACAAGGTTGCTACAAACATTCTATTTGTAAAAAAACACAGTATCTTTGAAACACAATAAAGTGAAGTACAATAAAACGAGGTCTAGGCAGGTGTACACACACGGAGGCCCACAGAGGTTGTATAACTCGTCCACAGATGCACATTGGCAGAGTGAAGTCAGGTTTTTAACCCAAGTCCCTGCTAAAAGTCCAAGCCCTTAGCATCCGGCGCACTGCCTGACACAGAGGTGCTCCCTCCCCCCAGCCACCCAGGGATCCTCACTGGGAACAGACAGTCACCAGACAGGCTGTCTCCCTGGGCTGAAC